CTTTGAAATTCTAAATAATATACAAAACTTAGTGAAGTTATTGGACGTCATTCTAGCTCGTCACAACAAGAACACACATTATCTACCTTTAGTGATAAATCTTAGTCTCTCTCATTATAAAGACTTAATCTTTTCATCTTTATTTTAATAAAACATGTGATTAATACATCAAGAACTTAATATCAATAAAAACAGTAACAATATAATATCATTAAATAATTTTTAAACTAATATTTATATTTTATTCTTTTATTTTTTGTTATTTATTAATAATAATTATATTAATTTATTTTTGTGCAAGTTTTATAATTTTTTTACCTTGTTTTAAAGTTGTGAATTGATTTCTGCCAGATTTTAGTTTATCATTTAGATTCTTCATTTTTTATCATTTTTTGATCTAATAAATTACTATATTTAATATATTTAACTATAACTTCAAGTTCAAGTTTTGAATTTTTGAAATATATATATAAAAAAATATTTTCATATTATTTGTGAATTTGAATTAATATTATTTATATGTAAAAATTTGATAAATATAGAATAACTAATTTAAAAGTTTATCAATCTATAAATAATGTTAATAATTAATATTTGCATTATTTTTTGTTCTCAAAAAATACTGATACATTATACATAATTTATAAAAAGTTAAGAGAAGTATATTATTTCTGATAAGTATTATATATTTTATATTTTTATATTTGAATTTTATATTTTTATATTATATTTAATTATTTTTTATATTATTATATAACAAACTTTAATCAAATATTTTACTGAATTATTCATACTTAATATTATTGGATTATATCTTATTGAAAGAATCTAATCATGTGGAATGAACAAACAAAAAAGTGAATGAATGAACAAATAAGTAAATGAACAAGCAAATAAGTAAATAAATAAGTAAATATTAGACTAATGGAATTTAAGTAATCTAGCGAACATGGATTCATATAACTAACAGATTATAATTTGAACATGTATAAAAGAAATATGTATCGTAGCTATTAGAATTAGATTAGAACAAGTCCTTCGATAGTAATATTCTTAATTATCATATTATATCTAGTTATTATATAGTTTTAATTATTTATATAAGTAAAGTTTGTATTTATTGTAGAGTAGATAGTCAAGCACAAAATTTTCTCTATATTTTTTTGACAAAGTATTCTTATTTCTTGTATAATCACTTCAATACTATTACTATAAGTATTATATAGATCTTGAATCAATATTATAGTAGCTTAAGCAAAATTGTTAGAAGTACTATAAAAATTATCAACTTAATATTAGATTATCTGAATATATTATAATAAAATCTATTGAATATTATATTAAATAAAGAAATTATTATTATAATTCATAAATCTATCTTTGAGATTGTATTACTAATAATATATTATTCATAAACTTATTTTCAATATTATATTGTTAATAATACATTATTTATCTTTAATCTTGTATTGCTAATAATATAAATATTATAATTTCTATATCTTTGACTTCAAGATTTTTTAGCAGTTCAGATTATTGCGTTTAGAATAAGAATAGTTGCTGAAATAACATTATCTAATTAAATAATTTGCTGAAATTAACTTGCTAAAATTAAATTTGAAATTATTTTGACTTATTTTATTAGTAGTCAAAATTATTTTCTGAAATTATTTGGATTTTACAAATCAAAACAAGTATTTTAGATGATTTTTAAGTATTTATTAATATAAGTAATATAGCAAAACTAAATTATTTGCCAAAATACCATTTTTTTCAAAAATAATTTAGAAAATCATCTTTAATTTAAAAGAACACAACTATTATCAATCTTTAAATAATTATATTATTATTATTATTTTTAGTACTTATTCACATTCAGTCTAATAGTTATAAAGTATTATTAATACTTTGAATTATCATTAAGACATTGGAAGTTCTTTTTAAATATTTCTTTAAAATTTATAAATACCTTTAAGTATTTCAAAAGTCAATCAAAATAATAACAATATTTTTATTTTACAGAGTAAAACTTTTAATAAAGAGAAATTTATTATAATATAAATTTTAATTAAATTTTATTAAACAATTTATCTATTGATAATTTAATTATTATAATTTATTTATTTGTAATTAAGTATCATAAATAATTATTATATAGTATAAAACACTTAAAGATATCAATAAATTAGTTATCTTTAAAGCAAAAGATCTTTATACAAAGGTTATACAAAAAAGAGAACTAATATTTTGTAGTAAATAGATCTAGCTACAAAATATCAGTTCTCTTTTTTTTGTATAATCTTTATATAAAGATTCTTTACTTTAAAAACAACTAAATTTATTGATATTATAAGTGTTCTATATTGTATATAATTATTTTAAATAATCATTTACAATGAATAATCACTTTTTATTTATTAATTATATATAAATATCACATGTATTTTAACTTAAAAAAATTAATAATTGACAAAATGATAAAAAGTAAGCAAGCAAGCAAGTAAGTTAAATTTGTTTTATTCTTTTTAATAATCCTTTAGATAATATTTTTATATAATATTTTGTCTTAATTGTGAAGTTATTGTATAATCTCTTATTTTAACTGCAAAGTTATAATTTTTGTAATTAATAAATAAATTATAGTTTATTTGTTTATAAATTAATTTTAAAAGAATATAATTTATCTTTAAATATTTCTAATCTTATTCTAGCTGATCACAAAATGAACATATGTTATTTATTTTAATAAATTAGTATTTTCTCTCACTTTGAAGTTATTTTATAAAACTCTTACACTTAACTTAGTCTCATGTATTTTCCATCATAACAAAACTTAAAATCATACAAAATGATATTTCAATATTAATTTTATGAAACTAAAATTTTATAATTTCTTCCAAATCAAAAAAATTTTCTTATCAAGTTGTAGCTTTATTAAAGAGCTATTAATCTATAAAAGAATTTTTTTTGTATAAGTATACACCAAATTTTCAACTCACATATAAAATAGATAACATTCAAACCATTGTAACTATCAAAAATAAAAATAAAAAAATCCTCTTTCAGAAATATAAGTTTACTTAAGAACTATCAATTTGGAAGAGGTTTTTTATTTAACAATTTATTCAAAAATTATAACACTTTTTGTAAGACAATTAAAATTGGATATCATACTGTCCCGTTCTGTATTACATTGCAAATCATGGAACATATTGGGTGACCGTGTATCAAGGTAATATCATTGGAATCAGTTATTTTTACAAATTTATACTTTGAGTCGCGAATTCAAATCATGGAAAACAACAACAATAGTAATAGTATCAACAAGACAACGGGTACAATAACCCAAAAAAGAAATCTAGAGACAAAACAGCAACAACGCCTTCAAAACCAAAGTACCCGAAAAAAAGTTGTATTCGTCGACCCAGATGATCCAGCAGCTCCGCACTGGTGGCCCGCAATAGTAGTACCACGTGCAGAAATTACACAGTTCAAACAACGAATGGATTATGATGTACGCTATCCTGAGGAAGGCACAGATTTGGTGTGTTACTTCGAGGACGCGTCGTTTTCGATAGTTCCCGAAAAAGATCAAAAGCCATTTGACACATCACTTCCGCCGTATACAACTTATCTTCGAGGTCTGAACGCGGGAACTTTTCAAAATGATAAAGCAGTAACGCTTGCTACTTTATATTTTGAGAAAGGGGCCATACCACCAACTTTTAAATGGTTGCTGCATCATAATGACGATGATGATGATGATACTATTAGAAAGATGGCTAATTATTCTTTAGAGGGAGGAACAGGAAACACTGTCAAGTTTACTGAAGCGTCGGTAGCTGATTTTTCGATGGACGATGAAAGTAACAATGTAAAAAGTAGCACTACCTCCACAACTTCCTCTATGAAAAGACATCGACGAAAAGGAGGTATATCTTCAAACGTACAAAATCGTCGAGATAGTAAAGATAAAATTCATGGATCGATAAATGTAGATTCCATTACTAATAATAGTATAGGGGGAAGTAGTAGCACCATTGCATCATCAGATTCCACAGTAAAAAACGCTCTTAATATTAAAAAAGAAAATAATAATGAAAGCACGTCAAGTCAAGGCAAGAAGGTAAAGAATATCTCGTAAGAATTTAATTTTAATTTTTTATTGTGGTTTTATTCTTTGATATTATTTATACAATAAAGAAATGAAATCAGCAGCCAACTCGGTCAGCTTCAATAAGCTTACCACTTCAAATAATAATAACACTGTTGATTCATCATCCCCTACTCAAATTCAAAAGACTTCCAATACCGACAATAATGATAATAATAACATTACTCGGGCTGGCGTTGAAACATTACCTCCGCCGTTACCAACAACAGCATCATCATCAACACCGATAGAAATCTCTTTACTTCCTCCTACTGAACGTACCACTACCACCACTACTTTATCTTCTTCCCGAACGAATAAACTATGTGCACATTGCGGAGACAATGCTCGTGATGGTGGTGGTGCGGACACACGATTATTATGTATTAACTGTAATGGGATGGTCAATGCTTTATTAAGTGATGGATCTTTAAATAGTGAAGATGTTTATTGGCAGCATTTAGTTACACGAAAAAGAAAGTATTCGTGTCGCCTTTGGGATGAAACAGGAGAGAATCTTGTCAAAATTAATGTTCTTGACGGGATGATACCAAAAACCAAACGCCAGAGATGGATAAAACGGTTTGAGAATTATTAATGTGACAAGTATAATTTTTAATGCATTCAATTTTTTTGACATTAACGTTAATGTGCGACCCATTTAGATGGTCGTGTAAGCGATTTTAATCGGAAGTAAAAGTTAAGCCAGTAATAAAAACTTTATTTTCTTTTTGCAAAAAGATAAAACTTATTTTATTTAATAAGAAATGTGTTTGTTTTTTATGATGGATAATGACATTATGTGACTACAACTTTAACACATTCACAAAAAAGACTACATCTACATCACCAACAATTTAAATATTTAATCACAATAAATTTAAAAAAGTATGTTAAAATTTATAATTACTTGGATTCATTCATTTTGCCAGCTAATTTCTCATTGGAACTCCAAAAGAAATTCATTACCAAAACTAAATCATATTTTATTCAACATTTTCAACTTTATAAAATAAATCATTTAAATTCAGAAGAATTACAAGTTATAAAAATTAATAATGTAAAAAGAATTTTATTTTATGAATACTTAGAGTTATATTCTAATTACTTTGAAATTGAAATCACTTATTATTGAATATTACATAAATATTATTGATCTTAGATAAAAATAAATTCTGAAACTAGTTTAGAAACATAATCAAAATTAGTTTAGATTATAATTATGTTTCTTTCAGATAGTTTAGGAATTCATTTTTAATCTTAGATTTACAAAATTATTGAAAATTATATTAAGATATAAGATAAAGAGGGGTATTATGACACAGGTGGGTAATGTGACGCAGCAAAAAATTTTAAAGATATTGCTTAATAAAGTGACTGGAATTAAATAATTTTTGTACTATTCGATTTGTCTCACCAAGATGAATCATATGGTACATAAATCACCTGATTCTAATAATTGAATTACAAGATATCATTATTAAAGTGATCTTTTTTAATTGACTGATTAATTAAATTGAACTTTTGTTTCATAATATTATATCATGTCACATAATAAATACTACTATTATTTAAATTTATTAAAGTTTTATAGTTCACCGATATTATACTTCAAAAAATTGATATTCACATTTTGTATCATGCTGCGTGTTATGTAAAATTATTATTAACAAATAATAGTAAATTTTTATTCAATTAATTATCATCATGCTGTACGTCACATAATATTTACTATCAAATTTACATTTTTATGATCTAGTTTATTTACAACTTTTATGTTTTCGCGACTTAGTTTATTTACAACTTTTCTATAAATAATTCAAAATTTATAGTATAAAGTTTGATTGATTATTTTTTCACGTAATTTTAATAAATAAAAAATCATCTAATCATTGATTAAGAAATGTTAGCTAAAATTTCTATAAAAACCAAAGGTGATAAACCTGTGAAAGCAAAAAATAAAAATAATAAATCCAAAACTAAGACCACATCAAAAATTTGGAAATTTGACCAAACAAGTCATCTAAATGCTATTCAAAATGCACTCAACGTACTTGTTAATCCTGAACATTCTAGTATATGTGCAACTGCTCGAAGATTTAATATTGCAGAGGCAACTCTTAGATGTGCAGTTAAAAATAATAGTTTGTCCAAACGTCCTGGTTCTGAAACTGTTTTGAGTACATATGAAGAAACACAACTAGTAGATTATTGCAAGAATATGCAAAAATTGAGATTTGGATTAACAAGATCGAGAATAAATCATTGTGTAATAGAGATCGTGCGCAGTGATAAATGTGATCATCCATTTACTAACAAAGGACCAGGAAAAGCTTGGTGATCACATTTTATAAAAGACCATCCAGATTTATCTTTTCATATACCTTAGACTTTATCAGAAGCACGTGCACAAAAAGGAAATCTGATTATTATAAATGATTATTTTAAAAAACAATTCAAGAGCACTCACTTATTGCAGATTGTATTTGAAATATGAATGAGATCAGATTTGTCCTTTCCCCCAAAATTCAGAAGGTTCTTTCTAAAAAAGGTGCTCGGCAAGTTCATAAAATCTCACATGGCAACGTAAACGATCATATCTCCATTGCTCCAACAATTTCAGCTGTCAGTGAATATGTTTATCCATTAATTATCTACAAAGATATCCGTATGATTCCAGGTTTATTGACTGGAGCTCCAGCTGATAGTGTCATGGAATTTACTGACTCCGGGTACATGAAAGAGAATCTCTTTCAAATGTATATCAATCACTTTATTAATTCAATTTTACCTGTTTGCCCAGTTCTTCTAATACTTGATGATCACAAGAGTCACGTTAATTATTTAAGTGTTAACTTTTGTTATGAAAATGGAATTTTATTATTCACACTTCCATCTCACACTATGCATATTCTTCAGCTATCTGAAATTCCATTTGCTAAACTTAAAAAAGAGTATAGTGTAACCGTTTCTAGTTCTTACGTATGAGAATATTTAGAAATAGTTGACAGCGACTGTGTTCAATTGAAAGGTCGGA